GCACTCCATGATTGTTCCTTCGCTGCGTTGTGGTGTCAATGAAGCTACCAAATTTACCATGTCTGCTCTTCTCTTCACCGCTCACTAGTTGCCCATCCCCGAAAATAGTTTTGTACCGATCGAGATCAGACTCTGACGATTCTTGCCCATTGACGATTCGGGCTGTAAAATGTAGATGCTGTTAGCTGTGAGCATTAAAACGACCTAAGTATCACCACAAATTTGTCCTGACCTGATTTTGTAGGCTTTGAACCAGGCTCCCTAGCTGTGGTCTTGAGCTCACGAACGGCCTCAGTGGTCTTCTTAGACAACACGTCTGTTTCGAATGGAACGCGTCATTGGCAAGAGCCTCCTAGGGTTTCATCAGCCAGCAAAACATGGATACTCGCGTACCTCGCATTGTTCGAATAAGCTGCACGCATGAACGTTGACGTCAGATGCAAGACGGAAAAAAACACTCAAATCATTCATGGGTAGTTTCTTACCTCCGCTCGGACATGAACGTTGGTTGACGCCTCCTCCACGTCAGCCTTAGTAACGACATTTTTCATTTTTCCCTTGTTATCCGCCTGTAAATAAAAGCTTGACATCACTGAACAGGAAAGTGGCCAATATATCGTGCTAAGTATCCATAGCCTTACAATATCAAATGGTGCCAACGCTAGCGAAAGGTACTTCTGATCGAATGGGTTCTTCTTGTGCCTCTTGTGTGCGACATCATCAGCAACTGATAATATTGAATAACGTCGTTCGCCCCCTTCCGCAATTGATGACTGGATTCTGTACTTGACCGCAGGTGGCGCCATGCTCCTAGTCTAAGGAGAAGCGATAGGCCTAGTTTCAAAAATCTTATGTGAGTCACTGATGTTCCTTATCATAGATTCAGGAGAGCTCATGCACAGGTAGCGGCTCGAACAACAGTCAATTCTAGTTTAGCCGCAGTAGTAGTGATAATCGCTTCGATGGTTCTCTTATCCTTCCCCTTCGCCCGACCGTGTTTCTGCAGATTTGTTGTCAGTGCTATGGAATGAGCTAGAAGATTGCAGGCATGAGAGTACGTGCTGTTACTGATAATCCCAGGGACAATCCCAGGGACAGGGTGAAATCGATCTAGTTATGAGTTGTACTAAGAAGAGTGCGCGGAAGACTTAATAAAAAGGATGAGAACTCCAGAATGACGAGAATGATAAAGAAGCAAGCATTTATAGGGTCGAAAGCGTGGTAGGCGAGGACCTCGGGACGTGGATGGGTTGGAAGTGTCGCGAATGGTGCGGGGCGACTCGGAAGTGGTTCGGGCCGAAGTGTAGGCCGAACCCAAACTGACGCGAACAGTTCGGGCTGTCCTCGCTAGGAGTAGCCTCTACAGTAATGAATTCACATTCATTACACTCTCCCACCTTCTAAATAAGGTGTCCTTATACGTAGGCGAGTCTTGCAGTAGCGTGAAAACTGCAGATCTCGGTCGAAAACCGATTTGACGGCGCGGAAGCATGTTGACTTTCGAGTTGACGCGTGGCTGAATGCATTGACCAGACGAATTTCAAATAGTTGGAATGTCAGCCGTTGATACTGAAGATGTCGATCGGGCGGTTGAAAGCAAATGTCCTTGTGAAATCGTTCGACGAAGGAAAACCGTCGATGTCGCGGATGTGTATCGGATGGTTCTGGTGAATGTCATGTCGGCGGGAATTCTGACGCGTTGTCAGGGATCGATGAATCTGGTTCCGTCAATGCCGATGAAGCCATCGCATGCGTCCGTCGTGCTGGGTGTGTCAAACGAACTGTCAGAAATAACTGCCGAAATGTCAGAGGCCTGCCAACAACAGTGCGTGAGCACTCTTTCTCCCCCCCCCCCCCCCCTTGGAAGAGAACTACTGCCCACCAAAATGTGCACAGCTGCGCACGCACAAAACCACAACCCCCCTGACGCCGAGGGTAGGACAGAATACCAAGTGTTAGGACCTCCCGCCTGAAATTCAGCCGCTGTGTAGTCTAAACTGCTGTCGGTGGCGAAATCTTCACTGTCGAAAACCCCGAAAATGCCCAGGGTAAACTCTGTCGAAGTCCCTTCGAAAGAATATCGTTTTTGCAGGGGCTCGGCATTAAGAAAATCTTTTTGTTGTCTTGTTGTCGCGACTGTTGCTATAGCATCTCTCGTGACTGCTGAGGAAAGTAGAACGAGAATGAGGATGACTAAGGAATGGAAGTGATACAAATATGCAACCCTAGAAATGTGTACCCCATATGGGCTACCCCACTATAGCCTACACAATAATATAATTTGACACACCCCCATAGGCAAAGTGGGGGAGAACAAGGGGTCACAAGACCAGTCAAGCAAAGCAGACAAAGCTCAGGGTGGATCACAACGTCACCACACAGTCCGAGCACAAGGTCAAGGCCACAAGGCCAGTTCACATGCAGGAGTACACATATATATAAGGCTAAACAAGCAAGAGCAGGTATATTTATATATATAAGAGTACAAGCAAGGTCAAGGGGTGAGCAAGTGAGGCAAGACAGGCACAAGACCCAGCTGAGTGCAGAAGCGCTGATGATCACAAGGCGGAAGTGCCTTGGTGAAAACATCAGCAGTGTTGGCCTCAGAGGCCACGTACGCAAGTCGCATCTGACCACGCTGCTGCAACTCACGAGCAAGAAAGTAGCGGAGAGCAATGTGCTTCGTTCTGTGCTCCAGGCGCTGCTCCCGACACAAGGCTAGCATGGCCTTGTTGTCTACGTACAGCACCGGAGGAGAACGAGGCGGCTCTCCGAGGTCAGTCAGCAGGTAGGTAAGCCAGCGAAGCTCTTGTGCAGCCATGGCCCCGGCGTAGATCTCAGCCTCACAACTGGAGCCGAGAACAGAAGACGAGCGAGTAGCCCGCCACGAAACAGAGCCGGAACCAAGGCTGAAGGTGTAACCCTGTGACGACCGCTGCGTAGCCTGGTCGTCTGCCCAAGAAGCGTCCGCGTGCCCAGTGAGGACCACTGGACTCCGCCCTCCAAGCACTAGCCCCATGCCCGACGTACTGCACAAGTAGCGCAACACCCTCTTCGCTGCAGCCATGTGCTCTGGTCTGGGTCTCCTAGGAGCAACATAGCGTGCAAGAATGCTAAGAGGGTATGCAAGGTCAGGTCGTGTGCAGGTCATCAGGTACATGAGGCAGCCAACAAGCTCTGGAAACGGGCCACTCGACTCTACGGACTCATCCGAAGGCAGAGCTGAGAGCGAGTGGCGAGTAGACAGAGGAGTGGCCTGAGGCGAGGAGTACGTGAAGCCGAAGCGCTGAAGGACCTGCTGCACCATGTGTGACTGAGTCAGGGTAATGGTGCGGCGTGCTCTGTCCCGGGTGATCTGCAAGCCAAGGTAGCTGCGCAGTTCACCCAGGTCTGTGCACGTGTGTCTCTTCTGCAGCTCGGACTTCACGTGGGCGAGTCCAGCAGTGTCACCTGTGGCAAAGACCAAGTCGTCGACGTACACGAGGATGTAGAACGGCGGGAGAGAGGTGTCGGTGCGTAGAAACAGCGACGGGTCAGCAGTAGAGGGAGCAAACCCAAGAGCCGCAAGTGTAGTCCTCAGTGTGTCGTGCCACTCGCGCGGTGCCTGGCGGAGACCGTAGACTGGCCGTCGGAGGCTCCAGTGGGTGCTAGGAGGGAAAGTCCCAGTGAAGCCAGGTGGACGGCGAAGCCAGATCTCCTCGTGCAGGCTACCCTGGAGGAAAGCAGTGCTGAAGTCAAGGGAGTGAAGCTCGTAGTCACGCTGAGCGGCTACGTGTAGCAGCACCCGAAGAGTGGTCATCTTCGGGGTGGGAGAGAAGGTCTGAAAGTAGTCAACTCCCTGCCGCTGACTGAAGCCACGAGCCACGTACCGCGCCTTGAAGACAGGTGGAGAGCCCGGCGGCCGCTTCACCCTGAAGATCCACATGCCAATGACGATGTTCGCCCCAGGAGGGGGAACCGCGTCAACGTAGGTGCCTGTGGACTTCCAGGAAGCCATCTCTGCATCCATAGCTGCCTGCCAGTGAGAGGAGTAGGGACCCTCTATGTCCTCCGCGTAAGAGCGCGGAGTCGGGATGTCTAGTGCATCCGGGTCTCCCTCAAAGGTAAGCAGTACGGATGCGAGATGAGGTGAAGCAGCAGCCAGACACTGGAACTCCTCCTGCCTGTCCTCAAGGACGTCCGTGCCAAGAGCACACTCACCCCCGGCGGACGGAGGACAGACAGACGCAGACTCAGCAACAAGACTAGCAGCGTAGTCTAGACGACAGCGAGCAGCAAAGTCGACGAGCTCAGCAACAAGAGCAGACGCAGCAGTGGACTCAAAGGAGGGGTCAGTGACGAAATGCAAGGAGACGCGTGACAGTAGGACAGACAGCATGAAGAGAGTCCGACTCATGGTCGGCAAGCACAGGAAGAGAGGACTCAGGAGGAGAGGGCAAAGGGGCACGTAGAGGAGCAGTGGACGGACGCAGAGACATCCGGTGCGTGCCAAGGACAGGAGGAGGACGCTGACGCGAACTGCGACCACTAGTGCGAGCAGCACAAACAAGCGACGCAGGACGAGACGCAGGCTCACGAAGCTCAGCAAGACCCCCAGTAGGACCAGTGTACGGAGAAGGAGAAGGCAGTGGGGAGGCCGGAGGTAACTGTGACTGCGACTAGACAGGCGGTGGACACTCTAAGGGAGGAGGAAGACCAAGAACCTGCTGAAGGAGCGGAACAAAGTACGGCCGAGGCCGCGCGCCGACTCCAGACACAACAGAGACAGCACCAGCACCCCCAGCGGCAGCACCAGCGTCAACAGCACCTCCAGCTCCAGTACCTCCAGCAACACCAGCAGCACCCGCAGCAGGACCGCCGCCAGGACTGACAGCAGTAGCCTCAGCGCCAACACCCTCAGCAGCTCCGACTCCAGTAGCACTCGCAGGACTAGCACCTCCGAGACCAGCGGCACCAGCACCCTCAGCAGCCGAAGAAGCACCAGCTCCAGTAGTACGCCTCTAGCGCTGGGCAAACCACTCGCGCAGCTCCTGTGGAGAGAGTGGCTCCCGCCGAGACAAAGCACACGGAGAACCAGCAGGCCCAGCACCGCCAGACGCGACACGAGCAGGTCCAGCGGCTGCGGGCTCCGCACCCCCAGGCTCAGTAGATCCAGACTCAGCACCCCCAGGCTCAGCAGCTCCAGACGCAGCACCCCCAGGCGAAGGACCCCCAGGCTCAGCACCCCCAGTTGCAGCACCCCCAGACTCAGCACCCCCAGGCTCAGCACCCACGCGCGCAGCACCCCCAGAGTTAGCACCCCCAGGCTCAGCACCCGCAGCAGTACCAGAGTCACTAGCAACCTCGACCGGCTCGACTGCATCTACCTGGGACACACCTGAAGGGGCAGGACCCTAAGGGGGGAGGGGGTCTACCGGGGGGGGACCTGGCACAAGGAAGTGCGGTGGCGGGGGGAGGGAAGGAGTGCGGTAGGGGAAGAGGCGGTAGTAGGGTACTGACTCGTCGAACGTGACGTCCTGGGAGGACAGAACACGACGAGAGGTGGGGTGGTAGAACTGCCACCCAGGGGCGTCAGGGGGGAAGCCAAGGAAGACACAGGGAGCAGCACGAGGGGACAGCTTGTCCGCAGACAAGTCGCGGACAAACGCCCGAGATCCCCAGACACGGAACGCAGACGCATCGCCGACCTTCCCCGTCCACAGCAAGGCTGGGGAGGTCTCCGGCCTGGAGACCCTGGGGTGAAGGTTGATCTGATGCGCCGCGTACCGAACCGCAAACGGCCACAGAAAATAGGGGGCAGCCGCATGCATCATGGACGTACGAGTGACGTCCATGACCATGCCAATGCGGCGCTCCGCAATCCCATTTTGCTGTGGAGAGTCCGGAAGCGTAAAGGTCAAGCGGATGCCTCGCGCACGATAGTAGGCTCGCAGAAGGCCAGAGGAGAACTCTCCGCCTCGGTCAGAGTGCAGACGCAGAACAGGAAAGTCCGAGCCGAAGCTCCTCCTGAGCTGGAGACGAGCTGCGCGGATCCAGTCGATCAACACCTCAGCGACATCACCCTTGCTGCGCAAGGGGAAGACCGTGGTGTAACGCGAGTAGTCGTCAACCACCAGCAGGAAGTAGCGCTCGTGACCCTGTCCACGGACGCGGGCCGGGCCCCACACGTCCATGTGAAGCGTCTGCAGCGGGGCCTCTGTCGGGGGAAACTGAGAGGAGTGAGGGGCAGCTCGGAGCCGCCCCTCAACACAGGGGACACAGGAAGGACCAGGCCCCGGAGGAAGGGGAGGGAGGGACCGGGGAAGACCAGAGACAAGGACACAGGAAGCCATGCCTCGGAGACGAGGCAGGGAGGGGTGACCAAGACGGTGGTGCCAGAGGAGAGTCTCGTGAGACAGGAGGCGACACGAGCAGGGGGCAGACTCAGGACCAGACCTGGACGCTGCAGCAAACACCTGACCCGACGCAGCTACCTGACCAGACGCAGTGACTGGAGGAGACGCAGTGGTCAGTGTGTACAGGCTCGCCCCCGGCCGACGTGTAAGCGTGGCTAGGTGTCGGCGTGTCCGAGCGTCCGTGCAGTGGGTCACCCGCTGACTCGCAGGAGTGAACTGGTGAACCCCCGTATCCTGCAGGTCAGCACCACTCACCAAGTTCGTAGAGAACGAGGGGAGGTAAAGACCAGACAAGGTGCCAGAGGGGGCAGCCGGATACGGGAGGACAGTGGAGAAGTGAGAGAGGACAGGACCCCCAGAGGGGTCTGCCAGGGAGACTGTAACTGGCCGACCAAGCGGCGTGAGTGTGGTGCGGTCTCGAAAGAAGGAGCGAGAAGCCCCTGAGTCAAGTGTGAAGGTGAGGGAGGCCGAAGCCGACGTGGTACCTGAGAGCGCAGACTCACCAGCACCTGAGGGCGCGGACGCACTAGCACCTAGAGCAGCAGCCTCACCAGTACCTAGAGCAGCAGTACCAATGCCCGGGTCGGGCGAGAAACACCGGTAACAGTCACCCTCATCACTAATAGTCACAGCATACATGGCAGCAAGGATAGCATCAAATTCAAGATCAAAGATAGCTACGCCTGCCCTAGACAGCTCTCCCCAGCGGGGGATCTCACTAGCCTCCGGGAACTGCTGACGCCAAGCGTCCGTCAGGCGGCCAAAGCAGCGCTGGGTGGGGTGAGCACCCCCACACTGCTCACCCGCGCGGTCGCCGGAGCGAAGGACGTAGGTGCACGGGCCAAAACCCCCACCACGCTGACGCTGCGTGTACCACTCTCGGAGCTGCTGAGGAGGGGGGATGTCCCGAGAACGCTGCTGCTGCTGCTGCTGCTGGCGCTGACCACTCCCGGAGCCGCTCCGCTGAGAAGCACCACCCCGACCAGCTCCACCTCCTCCACCTCCGCCGCCTCCACCTCCGCCGCCACCGCCGCCTCCGCTCCCACCGCTACCGCCACCGCCGCCTCCGCCTCCGCCGCTGCCACCGCCACCTCCACCCCCGCCACCACTCCCACCGCCACCCCCACTCCCCTCGCCGCCCCCACCGCCACCTCCACCACCCCCGCTAGCCCCACACGCGCCCTTGCCTCCTTTGCCCTTGTCAGAGCGGCATCTCACGCTAGGGGCAGACGCCGCACCGACCGACTCAAGACCAACGAGGTCGGCCGCAGCAGTAGAGGCGACAGAGGGCAACAGGGGGGAAGGGGAACACCCCTCAAAGATGGGGGTGCGAGGGTCACCACGAGAGGCTCCTACAGCGACTATGCTCTTCTCCGCCGCTAGGAGGGCCTTCTCTAGGAGGTCAACAGTGAGAGTGGTGGGACAGACTGAGAGGAAGTGGTCCTTGACTACACGAAGGGAGTCAGGGAGGCGGGTGACTATATAATAGAGAGTGATGTACATGGGGGGGGGGGGTTCTTGGCGCAGAACTCAGCAGGAAGCGCGGCGCGGTAGCGAGTGTCACTAGTGCGGAGGTGCGTAATGAGGTCAGCGACTGTGGGAAAGGCATCAAGGTCAGGAAAGAGGTAAGGTAGCATGAGGCGGCTCAGTGCAGCAGTGGCAGGGGAGGAGTAGCGTGCAACGACAGCGTCGTACAAGGTCTGAGCATTCTTGTACTGGCTAAAGTGCGCGCGCTCAGTGGTAGGCAGGTGGCGACGCACAGCAAGACGTGCAGCAGCATCGCGAGTGGCCCACTGGGAGCGAATAGTGGCGTCGGCATCGGCAGTAGGGGCAGGGGAAGCACCAGAGGTGAGGTCAAAGAGGGAAAGACCGTCTGCCCTATCGCACTGTAGGAAAAGCTGCAGGTCATCCACCCAAACCTCAAAGTCAATGGCTCGACCCTCAGCGTCAAAAGCGAGAACACTGGGGGTAGCCATGATTACAGTGGACTAGCAGTACCAACTGTAGGACTGGGGCAGTGCAGTGACAGAAGCGCTGCTCTCACCAGGCAGGGCGGGTTGGGCAGCTCAGCGGTACAGCAGCACGGCAACACGGCTGCTCGGACGGCACTGCAGCAACTGCGGCTCCGTGTCACTAGCGGCTCGGCTCCTCAGGCTGCTCGGGCGGCTCAGGCGGCTCGGGTGGCTCGGGCGGCTCGGGCGGCTCCGGCGGCTCGGGCTGGTCGGGCGGCTCGGGCGGCTCAGGTGAGTCGGGCGGCTCGGGCGGCTCGGGCAGCTCGGGCAGGTCGGGCGGCTCGGGAGGCTCGGGCGGTTCGGGCGGCTCGGGCGGCGCGGGCGGTATAGGGCGGCAGGGCCGCAGGTGCGAGGGGCGGCTGGGCCGCTGAGAAGGGCGGCGAGGCCGCTGCGGAAGGGCGGCGGGGCCGCTGAGGAGAAGGGCGGCGGGGCCGCTGAGGAGAAGGGCGGCGGGGCCGCTGAGTAGGGTGGCGGGGCCGCTGAGGAGAAGGGCGGCGGGGCCGCTGAGTAGGGCGGCGGGGCCGCTGAGGAGAAGGGCGGCGGGGCCGCTGAGTAGGGCGGCGGGGCCGCTGAGGAGAAGGGCGGCGGGGCCGCTGAGTAGGGCGGCGGGGCCGATGAGTAGGGCGTCGGGGCCGCTGAGGAGAAGGGCGGCGGGGCCGCTGAGTAGGGCGGCGGGGCCGCTGAGGAGAAGGGCGGCGGGGCCGCTGAGTAGGGCGGCGGGGCCGCTGAGGAGAAGGGCGGCGGGGCCGCTGAGTAGGGCGGCGGGGCCGCTGAGTAGGGCGGCGGGGCCGCTGATGAGAAGGGCGGCAGGGCCGCTGAGTAGGGCGGCGGGGCCGCTGAGCAGGGCGGCGGGGCCGCTGAGGAGAAGGGCGGCGGGGCCGCTGGGTAGGGGCGGGGCCGCAGCGACGGGCGGCGAGGCCGCGGAGACGGGCGGCGGGGCCGCGATGCGGGGCGACGGGGCCGCTGTGACGGGCGGCGGGGCCGCACTAAAGGGCGGCGGGGCCGAAACGAAGGGCGGCGGGGCCGCTAGGGGAAGGGGCCGCTAGGGCGGCTCGGCGAGGTGAGAGCCCGGAGCGCGACTCGGGCGGAGCGCGCTACGGGCAGGAGAGAATTTTTTTTTTTAAACTCGATGTGGTGGGCCCTATGTTAGAATGTCTTCTTATGCTCTAGCCTGTAGTGGGGTGCTCTATAGCGAGTACAACCCTTCTAGGGTTTCCTATTTGTATCCCCATTCTTGCTAGTGCAGTCCTCTTCTCTCTTCTAAATTTCACATGCTATCAGAGCAAATCGATCCCCTTGGATCGATCCTGTGGGTGGACTTACCACCTCGTTGCTTCCGCTGCAACTCCTACTGCTACTGCTATCACTACTCTCTGTGCCGCACGCCCCGTGGCGTGCGGCAGTTTTTCATCCCGCCGTGCGCCCCGAGGTGCGCGGCGGTTTTCTGCCCGCCGTGCGCCCCGAGGCGCGCGGCGGTTCTCTTCCCGCCGTGCGCCCCCAGGCGCGCGGCGGGTTACTGCCCCGTCACGCCGCGCGCCGCTCCTGGGAGGCGCTGCGACGGGCGACGGGGACCTCCGCGTTGCCCCCCGTCGCCCGTCGTGGCCTGCGCGCGGCCCGTACAGCCTGCGCGCGGCACGTACGGGCCGCGCCAGACCCGTCCGCGGCCCGTGCGGGCCGCGCCAGGCCTACGCGCGATCTGTACGGGCGGCGCCAGGCCCGCGCGCGGCTCGGGCCGCCTGCGCGCGGCTCGGGCGACCCTACCTGCGGCCCTGGCCCCTGCCCCGCCGCCCTACCTGCGGCCCCGTCGTCCCGTCGCCCTACCTACGGCCCGGCTCCGTCGCCCTACCTACGGCACCGCCCCCCCCCCCCCCCCCCCCCCCCCCCTTTTCCCGTCGCCCGTCGCGGCTCCTTCGGGGGCCGCGACCTGGGGGGTGGCGGGTGTGTAGTCTCCCCTGCTCCTCCTCCTCCTCTGTCTCCCACTGCTGCAGCTACCGCTGAGGGGGGTGGGTGTGTGGGATTTGACGGAGTGGTGCTAGGGGGTGGGGTGAGAGTGGAGCTAGGGGTGTAGCAGCGGCTGTGTGTTAGGGGGAGTGGGATCGTTTGGGGAAGCTGAATGGAGGTTGCCGTCGTGTCGCCAGCAGCACCTGTATTCCGGGGACTTCGTCCGGTAGCCCAGTCGTAGCCAGCTATGCCAGCCGCCCGTGGGTCCGTTGCTCGTCTGCCGCTACTTTAGCCGCGGGGCCAGTTACTCCAGTATTCCGGAGCGTTGTTCCGGTAGCCGCTGTGCCAGTGTGCCTCCTGTTGCCCGTGTGTCTGCAGCTTCATCCGTCGCCTCCTATCTCCTCTCCTCTCACTCTCTCTGCTCATAATTGTTAACTTTAAACTATTGCTTCTTGAACTTGTGCTCAGAATGTGTGGTGACATTGTGATCCACCCTGAGCTTGTACTGCTTTGCTTGCTCTGCTGATTACACCCCACTTTGGCTATGGGGGTGTGTCAGAATGTCTTCTTATGCTCTAGCCTGTAGTGGGGTGCTCTATAGCGAGTACAACCCTTCTAGGGTTTCCTATTTGTATCCCCATTCTTGCTAGTGCAGTCCTCTTCTTTCTTCTAAATTTCACACCCTAGGCACAGTTCCCAAGGGGGAACCTGCTCGATACCATGAGGAAAGTAGAACGAGAATGAGGATGACTAAGGAATGGAAGTGATACAAATATGCAACCCTAGAAATGTGTACCCCATATGGGCTACCCCACTATAGCCTACACAATACTATAATTTGACAACTGCCACCTCGTAATCCCACGCGTGGCAGTATCGAATCACTTTATTGCTGTCCAATCTCCAGTTGGCAGCTGCTGCAATCCCGAATTGCTGCTGCCGTTTGGCTGGTTGCTGTGGCGAAAATCTTCGCTGTAGTGTTCCAGCTGACGGCGCCCTCGGCAGTTTTGTCCAGACTCGCCCGGGCCTTTGTCGCGTTGCTCTGAAAACTCCCGGGCAGGGACGAAAACAGCTGCTGCTCTTCCCCCTGACCCCGCAAATATTTTTCAAAGTTGAAAACTCGAACTGTCGATGACGTCAGGTACCTCGGCTGTTGTCGTGACTCGCCGAAGACTTCGGGGCAGAGGCGAAAAAGCTGTCCTTCCTCCCCCCCACCTGTTGTGATACATTTCACCAGTGTTGCGGCTGGTACCCCTGAAACTCTGCAGATTTTGCCACCATGAAGTTCACCACGGCAGTATTCGCGCGCTTAACCCAGCGCCGCCGCAACTCCGCCGTTGTCGCAAAATTGTCGGCCGTCACCGCCGAACTCATGTAAAGACCCAGCTCCCAGTACTGCTGCTGAAACCCGTAAGTGTTGGTGTTGAAATTTCTCGTACGTCTTGGTCACCTGCAGGTTATCCCCTTGAAGAACCGGTGTATCTAGCGTGCCCACCCGTCACCATTTTTATTTCCTGCGATTAAGCACACTAGCCACCCACCAACAGGAGGTGCTTTTTGTGCGGAACCCAGAACTATGGGTCTACCGGGACCGAATTTCACGGAACCTAGCCCACATCGACGCCGCAGATCTCGCTGTAGAATTTCCCCAAATGGCTTCGAAGTACACCATAAACCGCTGAAACAGCTGGCGAGCAGACGTTCACCCGTCTCCCACCAATGGAATAAAACCCCGAAAATCATGGTTGTTGAAGAAGTCCCGAAGTATTTTCTGCCGCGTAACCCCGACGCTTCCGCCGTTAACCCTGGACTCCGACGTCACCCGTCTTCGCACCCGTCGAAATTACTTAGCGAATCCCTGGTATCCTTGGCGATACACCGCTCGCCGCGCCTCCATGTAACAATATCAAACCCTTTCGGGGGTCTACCGAATAGACTCCGAAATTCGCGGTGGATTGGTGTACGGGCTCAACCTTTCACTCTGGAGATCTGCTGGGAGTGTCTGAACATATAGCTTACTTATTTGTGTAGGCTATAGTGGGGTATCCCATAGGAGGTACAACCCAATTAGGGTTTCCTATTTGTACTCACTTCGTTCATAGTCATTTCATTCTCGTTCTATTCTTCTCATGGTTTCGAGCAGGTTCCCCTGTGGGAACTATGCTTAGGGCCCACCACTACTTCGAACTTTTTTTTTTACCCGGAGCGCGCTCCGGGCTCTCTCTCTTACCTCTGTCGACCGGCCCTTAGCCGCCCGCGCGCCGCCCGTTCAGGCCTCACGCCGCCAGCGCGCCGCCCTAGACGCTAGCGCGCCGCCCGTCCCGCCCCCTGTGCAGCCCGCGCGCCGCCCTAAGCAGCCCGCGCGCCGCCCTTAGCAGCCCGCGCGCCGCCCTAAGCAGCCCGCGCGCCGCCCTAAGCAGCCCGCGCGCCGCTCGCCCGGCCCCAGGCCGCCCACGCGCCGTCCGCGCGCCGCCCTTAGCCGCCCGCGCGCCGCCCGCCAAGCCTCTAACCGCCCACGTGCCGCCCGTGCGCCGCCCTTAGCCGCCCGAAGCGCAGCCCGTGAGCCGCCTGTGAGCCGCCCGTGAGCCGCCCGTGCGCCGCCCGTAGCAGCCCGAAGCGCCGCCCGTGAGCCGCCCGTGAGCCGCCCGTGAGCCGCACGTCAGCCGCCCGTGAGCCGCCCGTGAGCCGCCCGTGAGCCGTTCGTCCCGGCCCCGAGCCACCCGTGAACCGCCCGTGAGCCGCCTGTGCGCCGCCCGTGAACCGCCCGTCCCGGCCCCGAGCCACCCGTGAGCCGCCCACCCCGGTCCCGCTCCCAGCCGCCCTTGCGCCACGCTGTCGCGGCCCTTCGACGCCCGAGCCGCCCGTGCCACTCGCGTCACCCGAGCCGCCCGAGCCGCCTACGCAGCTGAGGAGCCGAGCTGCCCGAGCCACCTTTGCAGCCCGAGCCGCCCGAGCCGCCTGTACCGCCGAGCGCCCGAGCCGCCTGTACCGCCGAGCGCCCGAGCCGCCCGAGCCGCCCGAGCCGCCCGAGCCGCCCGAGCCGCCTGAGGAGCCGAGCTGCTGGTCCTGTGGGACTGCTGTTGCTACTAGGCCGGCAGAGCTGCTGTGTTGCCGTGTTGCTGTGCTGCTGAGCTGCCCGACCCGTCCTGTCTGGTGAGCACAGCTCCACTGCTACTGCGTACCCCTTCCCGCACTACTTGCACTGCTAGTCTGTCGTCATGGCTACCCCTAGTGTCCTAGCTTTTGACGCTGAGGGTCGCGCCATTGACTTTGAGGTCTGGGTCGACGACCTGCAGCTGTTCTTACAGTGCGATAGGGTAGACGGTCTTTCTCTCTTTGACCTCACCTCTGGCGCCGTCCCTGCCCCAGCTGCTGATGCTGACGCCACTGTTCGCTCACAGTGGGCCACGCGCGATGCTGCTGCACGTCTTGCTGTGCGTCGCCACCTGCCTACCGCTGAGCGCGCGCACTTTAGCCAGTACAAGAGTGCCCAGACCTTGTACGACGCTGTTGTTGCGCGCTACTCCTCCCCTGCCACTGCTGCACTGAGCCGCCTCATGCTCCCCTTCCTCTTACCTGACCTTGCCGCCTTTCCCACTGTCGCTGATCTCATTACGCACCTCCGCACAAGTGACACTCGCTACCGCGCTGCGCTTCCTGCTGACTTCTGCGCCAAGAACCCCCCCCCCATGTACATCACTCTCTACTTTTTAGTCACTCGCCTCCCTGACTCGCTTCGTGTAGTTCGGGACCACTTCCTCGCGGTCTGTCCCACCACCCTCACAATCGACAGCCTCGAGAAGGCCCTCCTAGCGGCGGAGAAGAGCATAGTTGCTGTAGGAGCCTCTTGAGGTGACCCCAGCGCCCCCATCTTTGAGGGGTGTTCTCCTTCCCCTCTCCTGCCCTCTGTTGCCTCTGCCGCTGCGGCCGACCTCGTTGGTCTTGAGTCGGTTGGTGCGGCGTCTGCCCCTAGCGGGAGACGCCGCTCTGGCAAGGGCAAGGGGGGCAAGGGAGCGGGTGGGGCCAGCGGGGGCGGTGGAGGTGGAGGTGGAGGCAGCGGAGGGAGTGGGGGTGGTGGTGGAGGGGGTGGCGGGGGTGGGGGTGCTAGTGGCGGCAGTGGAGGCGGGGGTAGCGGCGGCGGTGGTGGTGGGAGCGGAGGTGGCGGAGGCGGCGGCGGTGGAGGCGGAGGCGGGGGCTGTGGAGGCGGAGGCGGGGGTGGCGGTGGTGGAGGTGGTCGGAGTGGCACTTCGCAGCGGAGCAGCACTGGGGGTGGTCAGCGCCAGCAGCAGCAGCAGCAGCAGCGTTCTCGCGACATCCCCACCCCTCAGCAGCTCCGCGAGTAGTACACGCAGCGTCAGCGTGGTGGGGGTTTTGGTCCCTGCACCTACGTTCTTCGCACTGGCAACCGCGCTGGAGAGCAGTGTGGGGGTACCCACACCGCCCAGCGCTGCTTTGGCCGATTGACGGACGCTTGGCGCCAGCAGTTCCCGGAGGCCGCGGAGATCCCCCGCTGGGGAGAGCTGTCTAGGGCTGGTGTAGCAATCTTTGATCTTGACTTTGATGCTATCCTTGCTGCCATGTATGCTGTGACCATGAGTGATGAGGGTGACTGTTACCGGTGTTTCCCGCCCGACCCGGGCATTGGTACTGCTGCTCTAGGTGCCAGTGCGTCTGTGCTCTTAGGTACTGGTGAGGCTGTTCTCTCAGGTACTAGTGAGTCTGCGCTCTCAGGTACTGCTTCGGCTTCGGCCTCCCACACCTTCACCCTTGACTCTGGAGCGTCTCGCTCCTTCTTTCGGGACCGCACCACCCTCACGCCGCTCAGTCGGCCGGTTGCGGTGTCCCTGGCTGACCCCTCTGGGGGTCCTGTTCTGTCTCGCTTCTCCACAGTCCTCCCGTGTCCGGCGGCTCCTTCTGGCACCCTGTCTGGTCTCTACCTCCCCTCGTTCTCTACGAACTTGGTGAGTGGTGCTGACCTACAGGATGCGGGAGTCCACCAGTTCACCCCTGCTCGTCAGAGAGTGACGCACTGCAGAGAGGCTAGCACAGGTTGTCACCTGGCTACGTTTACACGTCAGCCAGGGTCGAGCCTGTACACACTGACCACTGCTTCTCCTCCAGTTCCTGAGTCTCGTAGGGTCCCCTCGTCAGGTCAGGTGTTTGCTGCAGCGTCCAGGTCTGGTCCTGAGTCTGCCCCCTGTTCCTGTCGTCGCCTGTCTCACGAGACTCTCCTCTGGCACCACCGCCTGGGTCACCCCTCTCTGCTTCGGCTCAAAGGCATGGCCTCCCGTCTTCTTGTGTCTGGTCTTCCCCGGTCCCTCCCTCCCCTTCATCAGGGCCCTGGCCCTGCCTGTGTCCCCTGTGTCGAGGGGCGCCAGCGTGCTGCCCCTCACTCCTCCCACTTTCCTCCGACAGAGGCTCCGTTGCAGACGCTTCACATGGACGTGTGGGGCCCTGCCCGCGTCCGTGGACTCGGTCACGAGCGCTACTTCCTGTTGGTGGTTGACGACTACTCGCGTTACACCACAGTCTTCCCCTTGCGCAGCAAGGGTGATGTCGCTGAGGTGCTGATCGACTGGATCCGCGCAGCTCATCTCCAGCTCAGGCAGAGCTTAGGCTCGGACTTTCCTGTGTTGCGTCTGCACTCGGACAATGGCGGAGAGTTCTCCTCTGGCCTTCTGCGTGCCTACTGTCGTGCGCGAGGCATCCGTAAGACCTTCATGCTTCCGGACTCACCGCAACAAAATGGGATTGCAGAGCGCCGCATTGGCATGGTCATGGACGTCGCTCGTACGTCCATGATGCATGCGGCTGCCCCCCATTTTCTGTGGCCGTTTGCGGTCAGGTACACGGCGCATCAGATCAACCTCCACCCTAGGGTCTCCAGGCCGGAGACCTCCCCTGCCCTGCTGTGGATGGGGAAGGTTGGCGATGCGTCGGCGTTTAGGGTCTGGGGATCTCGGGCGTTTGTCCGCGACTTGTCTGCGGACAAGCTCTCCCCTCGCGCTGCTCCCTGCATCTTCCTGGGGTTCCCCCCCGACGCCCCTGGGTGGCAGTTCTACCACCCCACCTCTCGCCGTGTTCTGTCCTCCCAGGACGTCACATTCGACGAGTCGGTACCCTACTACCGCCGCTTCCCCTACCGCACTCCGTCCCTCCCCCCACCCCCGCTCTTCTTGGTACCAGGTCCCCCCCCGGTCAACCCCCTTCCCCCTCAGGGTCCTGCCCCTTCAGGTGTGTCCCAGGTAGACGCGGTCGAGCCTGTCGAGGTCACTGGTGACTCTGGTGCTGCTGTGGGTGCTGAGCCTAGGGGTGCTGTGACTGGGGGTGCTGTCCCTGGGGGTGCTGAGTCTGGGGGTGCTGAGCCTAGGGGTGTTGTGCCTGGGGGTGCTGAGCCTGAGGGTGCTGAGCCTGGGGGTGCTGAGCCTGGGGGTGCTGAGCCTGGGGGTGCTGAGCCCGGGGGTGCAGAGCTTGGGGGTGCTGAGCTTGGGGGTGCTGAGCCTAGGGGTACTGCGACTGGAGGTGCTTCGCCTGGAGGTTCTCCGGGTGCTTCGTCTCGCCGAGAGCCACTCTCCCCGCAGGAGCTGCGTGAGTGGTTTGCCCGGCGCAGGAGGCGTGCTGCTGGTGCTGGAGGTTCTTCGGCTGCTGAGGGTGCTGCTGCCGCGCGTCCCGGAGGTGCTCGTACTGGGAGTACTGGAGCTGCTGGGCCTGCGGGTTCTACTGGAGCTGGTGCTGCTGAGCGTGTTGGCGCTGAGACTACTGCTGGCGGTCCGGCTGGCAGTGCTCTTGGTCCTGCTGGAGGTTCTGGAGCTACTAGAGGTGCTACTAGAGGTGCCGCTGGAGGTGCTCTTGGGGGTTATGGAGCTACTGGAGGTGCTGCTGGAAGTGCTACTGGAGCGGGTACTCCTGCTGAGGGTACTGGTGCTGTCCCTGCTGTTTCTGGCGTCGCCTCGCGGCCCCGACCGTACTTCGTTCCCCTCCTGCAGCAGGTTCTTGGTCTTACACCTTCTCCTGGTCCTTCTCCTCCTCCCTTAGAGGGTCCACAGCCTGTCCAGTCACAGTCACAGCTACAGCCTGCCTCCCCTTTGCCTGCTCCTTCTCCCTACGCTGGTCCGACTGGAGGTCTTGCTGAGCGTCGTGAGCCTGCGTCTCGTCCTGCGTCGCCTGTTCGTACTGCGCGCACTAGTGGTCGCGGTTCGCGTCAGCGTCCTCCTCCTGTCCCTGGCACGCACCGGATGTCTCTGCGTCCGTCTACTGCTCCTCTGCGTGCCCCTTTGCCTTCTCCTCCTGCTTCCTCTCTTCCTGCTCTTGCCGACCCGGAGTCGGACTCTCTTCGTGCTGCCAGTCCTACTGTCACGCGTCTCCTTGCTACAGCCGTCACTGACCCTTCTTTCGAGTCTTCTGCTGCGTCTGCCCTTGTCACTGAGCTCGTTGACTTGGCTGCGCGCTGACGTCTAGACTACGCTGCTAGTCTTGTCGCTGAGTCTGAGTCTGCCTGTCCTCCGTCCGTCGGGGGTGAGTGTGCCCTTGGCACGGACGTCCTTGAGGACAGGCAGGAGGAGTTCCAGTGTTTGGCCGCCGCTTCACCTCATCTCGCGTCTGTACTGCTCGCCCCTGAGGGAGACCCGGATGCACTAGACATCCCGACTCCGCGCTCTTACGCGGAGGCGATAGAGGGTCCCTACTCCTCTCAGTGGCAGGCAGCTATGGATGCAGAGATGGCTTCCTGGAGGTCCACAGGCACCTAAGTTGACGCTGTTCCCCCTCCTGGGGCGAACATAGTCAGTGGCATGTGGATCTTCAGGGTGAAGCGGCCGCCGGGTTCTCCGCCTGTCTTCAAGGCGCGTTACGTGGCTCGTGGCTTCAGTCAGCGGCAGGGAGTTGACTACTTTCATACCTTCTCTCCCACCCCGAAGATGACCACTCTTTGGGTACTGCTGCACGTTGCTGCTCACCGTGACTACGAGCTGCACTCTCTCGACTTCAGCACTGCTTTCTTGCAGGGCAGCCTGCACGAGGAGATCTGGCTGCGTCGCCCACCTGGCTTCACTGGGTCTTTCCCTCCTGGTACCCAGTGGAGTCTCCGGCGTCCAGTCTACGGTCTCCGCCAGGCGCCACGTGAGTGGCACGACACACTGAGGACTACGCTGGCGGCACTTGGGTTTGCTCCTTCTACTGCCGACCCGTCGCTGTTTCTGCGCACCGACACCTCTCTGCCGCCGTTCTACATCCTCGTGTACGTCGACGACTTGGTCTTTGCCACAGCAGACACAGCTGACTCACCTACGTCAAGTCCGAGCTGCAGAAGAGACACACGTGCACTGACCTGGGTGAACTGCGCAGCTACCTTGGCTTGCAGATCTCCCGGGACAGAGCACGCCGCACCATTACCCTGACTCAGTCACACATGGTGCAGCATGTCCTTCAGCGCTTCGGCTTCACGTACTCCTCGCCTCAGGCCACTCCTCTGCCTACTCGCCACTCGCTCTCAGCTCTGCCTTCGGATGAGTCCGTAGAGTCGAGTGGCCCGTATGCAGAGCTTGTTGGCTGCCTCATGTACCTGATGACCTGCACACGACCTGACCTTGCATACCCTCTCAGCATTCTTGCACGCTATGTTGCTCCTGGGAGACACCGACCAGAGCACATGGCTGCAGCGAAGAGGGTGTTGCGCTACTTGTGCAGTACGTCGGGCATGGGGCTATTGCTTGGAGGGCGCAGTCCAGTGGTTCTCACTGGGCACGCATACGCTTCTTGGGCTGACGACCAGGCTACGCAGCGGTCGTCACAGGGTTACACCTTCAGCCTTGGTTCCGGCTCTGTTTCGTGGCGGGCTATCCGCTCGTCTTCTGTCCTCGGCTCCAGTTGTGAGGCTGAGATCTACGCCGGGGCTATGGCTGCCCAGGAGCTTCGCTGGCTGACCTACCTGCTGACCGACCTTGGAGAGCCGCCTCGTTCTCCTCCAGTCCTGTACGTAGACAACAAGGCCATGCTGGCCTTGTGTTGAGAGCAGCGACTGGAACACAGAACAAAGCACATTGCTCTCCGCTACTTTCTTGCTCGTGAGCTACAGCAGCGTGGACAGTTGCGACTTGCGTACGTGGCCTCTGAGGCCAACACTGCTGATGTCTTCACCAAGGCACTTGCGCCTTGTGATCATCAGCGCTGATGCACGCAGCTGGGTCTTGTGCCTGTCTTGCCTCACTTGCTCACTTCTTGACCTTGCTTGTACCTTCACCTACATATACTCTTGCCCTTGCTTGCTTGACTCTTGTATATCTCTGTATATGATCTTGCATGTGGACTGGCCTTCTGGCCTTTGAACTTGTGCTCGGAATGTGTGGTGACTTTGTGATCCACCCTGAGCTTTGCTTTGCTTTGCTTGACTGGTCTTGTGACCCCTTTTTCTCCCCCACTTTGCCTATGGGAGTGTGTTAGAACATATAGCTTACTTATTTGTGTAGGCTATAGTGGGGTATCCCATAGGGGGTACAACCCAATTAGGGTTTCCTATTTGTACTCACTTCGTTCATAGTCATTTCATTCTCGTTCTATTCTTCTCGGGGAGCACCCACAAATTTCCCTCCATTTGTTTTGTGTCTTCACCCCCCGACAATTTCGCTTGCCGCCGTTCACCCAGCGTTCGCTTTTGTCGGATGAGGTATAACTCCTTGTTGCCCGCGATTTTTCTTACATTCGGTGAAGGCGCGAACGCTATCGTAGCCGGGTCATGTTTATCGGATCAAACAGTCGGACCGGCCGCTTCGCTGCCCACTGCGTCTATCGCGTTTAAAACTCCTCAGCTTCGGAAATCCCTTCTTCGCCGCTACACCGCCGTCGGGTAGACCGTTGAATCAGGAGAAACTCCGACAGCTGCACCAACTGCTTCAACTCCGACTTTTTCGGCGGGGTAACTGCTGCCGATGGTCCGGTTTTGTCGGGGCCGAAACAGTGTCGCTCCCAGAAAATTTCTTGTACGCCCAGCTGCCGAACTGGCACAATACCCGTGCTTTTTAGCCAGCACAGGGCTAAACACAGGGCCCCACCTTTGGATCGAGTGGCCAATAGGACTTACTCCTTGCCTTCGAGGCCTTCTAGGCGTGAGGTATGTGAAACGTCGGTAGACTTTGGCCTGTAGGGAGCTCCTTCTGCTACCGCCGCTTAGCCGCAAAACTCGGCCCTCAGCAAAAAGTCGTCGCAGTAGGTCGTTTTCGCCCCTCCTGAAGCTCGGAATCCGTTTCTCTCGCCAGACCCGTATTTGTCGCAACTCCGTTTATTGTGACTGGTAGACCAGGCGAAATTCGCGGGTCTAGACGCTGCGATAAACCGTTGTCCCGTCGGTGTACTGCCCTGTCTGCGGCGCAACTTCCCTTGATCAGGGGGAACCTGTGCCGCATGAAGTACAGTGTTGGCTGCTGCTGTTGCTCCGAAAATTTCGGCCGGCCTTGTTGCAGGCGCAGAAGTGACCCTAACGTAGACAGTCTAGTTATAGGCGGCCTTTTCCGAACTTTTCGGCGGTTCGAAAAAAACTTCCGTCCCACACTGTGCCGCACCTGCCAAAAACGCCAAAGACGCACCCTCCTGCAGCCACACCGGCCACACCCGGGCGGAACGACGGTAGACCCCCGCTTTCTTCGGGCAGTCGTCACGCCGTCTCTCCTCGCCGTTTGCATTTTCCGATGCAAATCACCATGCGCCTGGCCTGTCCGGCCAGCTGTCGTTTCTGCCGTGAAGCCACCCGAAATCTTCGAGCACAGTAACGATGCTCACAACGTGTCGAAGACCTCCGTGTTTCTCGTGCGCAACTTGACGAAAACGCCTGACGCCACTTGCCGCACGCATTAACTCCGATTTCTTCGTGCGCAGTTGACGACCACGTGAAAACTTCAACTCGCCAACCAGCTGCTCCGAGAATCTCGCGCATGCAGTGACGACAACCGTCTTGACGCCAACTGCCGCATAAAAACAGCGTTGAGATTAACGGAAACGACGAAATTAACTCACGCAATTAAATGCGACAACAACAAAAGCTGTCCGCCACCCGGGGGGGGGGGAGGCCACGGTCCATCTCGACCGTCGAGGGCAAGGATCCGTCGGTGCAGCAGGAGCGCCCGTAAAAACATGGCCGCTAGGAGCAACTATCTGTTCTCCTGGCCGGCTACTGCGCTGCTCCTGTCACCACGGCATCCTTCCCTGTCCCCCCCCCGAGGGGTAATACACTCTAAAAAACGGGGAACCTAGGAACTTAGGCTCTGATACCAAGTGTTATGAGTTGTACTAAGAAGAGTGCGCGGAAGACTTTATAAAAAGGATGAGAACTACAGAATGACGAGAATGATAAAGAAGGAAGCATTTATAGGGTCAAAAGCGTGGTAGGCGAGGACCTCAGGACGTGGATGGGTTGGAAGTGTCGCGATTGGTGCGGGGCGACTCGGAAGTGGTTCGGGCCGAAGTGTAGGCCGAACCCAAACTGACGCGAATAGTTCGGGCTGTCCTCGCTAGGAGTAGCCTCTACAGTAATGAATTCACATTCATTACAGATCTACTGCGAGACGAGCGTGTGTTGGGGTGGCGCACGGCAAGCGAAGAGGTGAGTGGTAACGAAGGAGGAATATTCGTGGTTCGATGAACAGTGCTGTACATGGGCTACATTTAGGCTCTCGACATTGTAGTACCTCGATTGGAATATAGCAGGCCTTAGGGCGTGTTCCTACGGCCTCCTATCAGAGCTACCTCATATCAGATAATGAAAAAGTTGCAGACAACGTTATACAACACCTCTTGTCAGCCCTGTACCGAAACTGTGCACAAATCACAACATTTGCTTGGCCTCGCATGGTCGTGCTGACTCACCTGTGCACGGTTGGAGTAGACCCGCATGCAGATGCCATTGCCTGTCTGCCGACATCCTAACCTGCGCACGAAGGTGACGCGGCCTGGTATGTGCACGTCTGGACGTGCCATAGTTGCACAATTTGTCAAACATTGGATGATTGGCGCAACGGGAAAGATCTTTGGCGCCTCTTTCACGCCACGTTTAGCCAGCACGTTCAGAGTTTCCCGTCTCACTCACAAACAAATCCGCACAAACGAACTCAAACACCAGGATCGACACATGCGTACATAATCCACTCGACCACGCAGGTTGTGTTATGCAGGCACTAGAACTTCCTAGCATGGCTCGCAAACGCAAAAGCAATGTCGGCGCGACAGAGGAATACTTGTGGCGACCGGAAGACCTGGCCTACGTGAAGTGGATGAATGCGGAACTTGCATCAGGGAGACCTACCACGAAGCCCCTTCGTAACGTCCATGCCACCGGCTCAACGCCAGCGCAATCGACCGTCAATCCGCATCGCACTCAAGGTCCACACATGACCGACTACGACACTAACGAGGATTTTCCGGAGAAGGACTCTGAGGACGAGGATCTGGAGCAAGGGTCGGACGGGGAACATCCCGTTGCTGCATGGCATGGGGACGTTCAGTACAACGGTCCGGCTGAGCAGACCGCGAACGCCACCCACGCTGTTCGGGACGGGGCGTATCCGAGCCCACGCGCCAGGGCGAAGCGTAACGGCAAGGCTAAAGCACAGCCAGAGTCGCCTAACGAGACGTCAGTGAGCGGCATTGCGCAGAAAGGCCAACGGTTGGAGTGGTCACCCAAGGAGTCGACCGTTCTCGTGGCCGCGCGGTGGTTTACGAAGGACGAGCTGCAACAGATGACGGGCAAGCAGGGGTCGCAGTATTGGCTCCGGCTAATCGAGCATATCAAACTGCAACACCCTGATTGGAGTCGGAACGCCTTAGCATGCACTAACTAGTGGAAGCGGTTGAAGGCGTTGTGGAAGCAAATCGACAAGGGCGACTCCGCTTCGGGTGGGGGGACGGTGATTAAGCCACTGTGGTGGGAGTGGATGGTGCTTTTTTAAAAGGATACGGCAGCTGCAGAGCCTCACGCCCTTGACGGCGGCGGTGCGGTTAAGGTCAATGTTGACCCGGGTGTGAAAGTCGTCACGCCCTCGAAGACCGATGCTACGGGCACCACGGGTACGTATTGCTATCAATGTATAACTCTGCATGTTCCAACATAGATCGTGGTTGTTTTATTGATATCCATCTCTTATTAGCATTAACATACATTACTAACATTCTTTATGACATACAATACCCTATCTATGTCCTTCGTGTCAGAAGTGCGTCACACCCCACCTAGTGCTCATCGTAGGGTCCACGAGACGGCAACCATGGCGGTCGCCCAGCTCTTATCCGACACTCTCAAGCAGTGCTCGGCTGATGGCGTGGCGCAGATAACTGGGGTGATTCGGGAGTGGATGGCGACGCAGCAGTCGCAGACCAGTCGCCCCCTCCACTTCTCGGGATCCCGCCACGGCGACGATGACAGCTGGCATTACAACCGTGAGGGCAGCGAGGGCAACACCAATGCTGACCTCAGTGACGGGGTTGAAGAGTGGCGTCGCGGCGACGACGCTTAAGGTAAGCGTCGTGAAGGGTCATGCCAAGCCTCTTACGCCGCTCTTTCAGCTCCGTCTGCGTACCTGTCTCACATGCACTCCAGTTGTACACAGCAAGCTCGCCCCTCGTCCACCATGGGTCGCGGTTGAGTGCAATTGCTTCCCATTTGTGGTTCGGGTTTTTCATCCGTGAACCGGCCATCGGAATCCCCATGTTGTGCAGGATTACGACACAACTGGCCCCGGCGAGTACGCGCTATAGCGCACAGTCGTGTCGGCCGGCGAAAAGGCGGTAGCGGCCTTTAAACTGACCGATGGTGCGCTCGACGGACATTCGGGTGGCGGACTGGCAGTAGTTGTATGTCTGTTCCCACTCGAGCATCAGGCGGCCAGTGGGTGCATGTAAGGGGGTGAGACAATAGTTGCGGAGGGGATAAGCTGCATCTCCAACCAGCTGGTACGGGGAAATGTCGCCTCGTTCTAGTCTTTCGTAGAGGCTAGATTTGATGAACACTCTCTGATCGTGTGCTCTGCCGGGATACCCGATGAGGTAATCCAAAATGATCCCTCTAGCATCGCATGTGATCTGCAATTGAACCGCATACTGTGATTTGCGGGTGTAATATTCAGTCCGATGCCCTTCCTTCCCTCTGATTTGAATATGTGTGTCATCTATTGCACCCACTACTGCTGGAACACCCTTTATGCTCCTAAACTCTTCTGCCATCGTCCGCATCTCTTCTTGTGATGGAAATCGGACCCAGTCCGATTTAAAGACGCGCGGGAAGTTTGTGAGGAAAATGTCTACGAGTAAGTGGCATATCGTCTTCGGAACCCCAAACCAGAACGCGAGGTCAATGTACGACAGGGCGCTCGCGAAGTATTTGATCGGCACAAGTATGGCGATGCTAATCGGTAAGGAGTGTTTTTGTATGACCGGGTTTAGAACTGAGCGCATTCCTTCACTGATGTAGTCTAGAATGGATCGATTGATTCTGAACAAGTCCATGAAAACCTCCTCTGGCATCGCCTCCATTTCATCCACCCATATCCCTAGGCGTCGCCGCCTCAGAACTCGATTCCGTGCCCGGATCGCACTACGGGATTCTCCGCTAGTTTCCTCATTTGTGGCCTGGTCTATCTGCTCGAGCAACTCAGTACAAGCTTTCGTAGCAAGCGCGAGGAAGGTGTTGTAATAAAAAGCATGCCACACAATTAAGAGTCTAGGGAGAAAAGGCACATCATTCATGGTGGCTGGAGGTAATTAATAACCCATTTAGCTGGTTCTCGATAGTTTATCATCAGTTGCAGCGGGAGGCGAGTCCGTTCCCGCTTGTTATGCTTTGGCTAGAGTAGATGGGACTGGTGCTGCATGAATGCTTACGTGGTGGTGGTGATGGTTTAGTCTGGAACTAGACGGGCGTGTCCTTGCGCACATTTACAGGGTTGGGTCGCATGGTGCCACATCAACGCTCATTTACAGTCGCGCAACAGCTCAAACCGGCAAGTACACCTGACAAGAGGTTTTGGCGAACTTGCAAATTTACATGCGAGAATTGCTAGGCTGATATGAGGCAGCTCTGATAGGGTGCCGTAGGAACACGCCCTTATAAGTAATGTTACATCTATAACGCGAGGGCGAGGTCTGCTTTGGACCCTTGTAATATGTTCGTCAGCCCTTACAAAGAGTGAATGCTTTTGACACACTGATATTTTAGAGGACTGTATGGTAGAATTTTTGTCTAAGAACCTTACGGAGTCACAATAGGTACCTCCAAAGAATAGAAAATAGACATCACGTATTCCTAATCATCAAATATGAATGTACGAAGTGCTTAAATTCAGGTGGTGAGGTGATGCTAATATGGACGAACAACATCAACACCTAATAATCTCTATTGGCTCCTGCCTGCTGCAAGATCCCGGCAGTGGAATAGGAGACGTCACACGAGTAGGTAGGGAGACGCTGGATTGGACTAGAAAGGCTATGCAATTGCTGCCATGAAGCCAGGAATGTTGCCACCACCAAAATACCATGAATCAAGCGGTCCGATGGCCAATGACACAAACAGCCGATGGAGCATCAATGGGGCAATGCAGGAGGACAGACAGAGTCGGGCAGGCGGGTGGCAGTACGAGGGTTGCGAGAACTGAGTGACTTCAGGAGCAAAGGCAGAAGCTGCCATGAACCCTTGGTGATGGAAGATGGTGACATGGAGCTGGCGGATGGAATGGGCGGGTGGCAAAGCATGAGGGATAATGGAGGCGCATCAGGCAGACAGACCAGCTGCCAGGGCGCTTCCTCCTCCGTCCCCTCAGCGGTGAAGAAGGCTGTTAGGGAGAATGTGGGGCTGTAGGTCACCTGGAGGGATGTATGTGATGCGGCATGGTGGACAGTGGATGGAGGGTGGTAGGTGGGAGATTCTGGCTGTCGTTATAACAGTTATTGCAAGTCGCATGGCATGCCCTGCTTGCCCCCTGCCCCCTCTAGTGGTGAAGTATGTGAAAGAAAACGGGATGCTGCAGGGTTACCAGTGAGGATATGAGATGGGAGATGGTGGATGGAACGGGTAGGAGGCGTAGCATGAGAGACAATGGTTGCAAACAAACTGCCAGGCCCTGTCCGCTCCCTCCCCCTCCCCTCCCTTGGTGAAGGACGCCTCTGATGAGGAATTGATCTGGTAACAACGTAACAGTTACTATGGGAAACTTGTTAGCTGTACGAATGACATGGACCAAGCATCTCACCTAATCTCACATTCAGAAATGGTCCAAAAGTACCTTCTGAGTCCACTCACAACCCCATAATCAGCAACGGATAAAAAACACATAATGGAAAGAATCAGGTGAACAACAGAAGGCACGAGTAACAAGAGCACCAGGAATGCGTGTCTAACCGCTATGGAATGGGTGACTCACCGCCATGGGATGGGTGTCTAACCGCCATGGAATGGGTGTCTAACCAGGCACAAGCAACAAGAGCACCAGCACCACCATGCTGACTAACTACCATAGGATGGGTGTTTAACCGCCATGGGATGGGTGACTCACCGCCATGGGATGGGTGACTCACCTCCATGGGATGGGTGACTCACCGCCATGGGATGGGTGACTCCCCGCCATGGGATGGGTGACTCACCGCCATGGGATGGGTGACTCACCACCATGGGATGGGTGACTCACCACCATGGGATGGCTGACTCACCACCATGGGATGGCTGACTCACCGCCATGGGATGGGTGACTCACCGCCATGGGATGGCTGACTCACCGCCATGGGATGGGTGTCTCACTGCCATGAAATGGGGGACACACCGCCATGGGATGGCTGGCTGACTCACCGCCATGGGATGGCTGACTCACCGCCATGGGATGGCTGACTCACCGCCATGGGATGGCTGACTCACCGCCATGGGATGGTTGACTCACCGCCATGGGATGGCTGACTCACCGCCATGGGATGGGTGACTCACCTCCATGGCAGAGCCTGGACAGCAAAGATGGTGAGAGCAGCTCCCTTAGCCACATGAGCGCCCCCAGGTCAACAAAGGGGTATGCCTGAAGTCCTTGTCAGGCGTGACAGCACTGAAAGTGGCAGTCGCAGCAAGAGACTGATGGCGTGATACCGGAGGCTGTGACTCAAAAGCATCCCGACTTTCAGTGTGCCTACCAGTTTTCAAGGTCCTTGCTCCTGCTACTTCTCTGAGTCTTCCCCTTCCCTCTCTACTCCTCATCGTATTGCCCCTTTCTCATGCCGCAGCAGTAGCAGATTCTTGTGACAGGGTTCGCAAATAATGGAGATATGGAGAAAACCAGATGGGACCAGATGTGTCCCTAGCATTTGGCCGGCTAAACGGGGCACATCAGCAGCAGCAGCAGCAGCACCACCACCAGCTTCACCAGTAGGAGAAGCAGAGGGCACACCAGCAGTGGCTAGCAAAAAAGCAGCAAGCACTGGATTTCCACACTTCCCAAACAGCAACCACCAGATTTTCCACTTCCCAAACGGTCTTCGACCCAAACCAGTAGCACAGAACATCGATCTGAGGCTCGTCAGACCCTCTAGAGGGTTTGGGGTTTACCACCGGGTTCAGCACTAGGCCTAGCACTCTGCACCTCCCTTCCCTGCTGTATGCTTTAAGAGTCGCCTCACAACTAGCACCAGCCGCTCCACTCATGCAAGCACTCGCTAAAGCAGCAGCTGCTTTACCACCAGCAGCAATTTTAGCTGCTGCGGTCGTTGCTGCAGTAGCTGCTGGTACCCTGGATTCTCTAGGGTTATTCGAGTCGAATCCCCGAAGACCTCCGGACCCATCCAGTCAGTATTAAAGAGCAGGAAAGGAACTATATGAGGCAGGTTAAGGCCGTGCCCGCAAGCACACGAAGCACGGTTGGAAACACCTGCTGCAATGAACTGACCTGTGTAGAAAATCAGACCTATATGCACAATGTGCACAAGGAGAAGCTGGTTCTGAGATGTTGAAAAAGGTCTACAAACAGAAAGTTAACTGAAGTGATGAATACAAGCAAAACAAAAGCTAAAATAGGCAGAAAGTGAAGAGAGCTAGCTTGGAGGCGACTTGGGCTCGTCCAGGTGAGGAATTTGGTACCCAAGGGACTTGGGGTGGCCAAATGGGTGCTCAAGTCGCCCACAGTCAAGATGGGGACGTGAGGGACCCTCAAAGTGGGCCTGGAAGCGCCCCCTCTAGTGGAACCGCGATTCCACGAATTGGAAACGCGAATTCCAAGCTGGAGCCGCGTTTCCAATGTTGAAATTCGTGGGTCCAGGCTGGAGCCGCGTCCCCAAGGATGGGAAACGTGCTGGGGTGCCCCAAAGCCGAATTTGGGGTGCCTAGCACTTGATAAAGTCACTCAGGGGGCACCCTATAACTAATATAACCCAACCCCTATTGTCTACACTATTATAATGTAAGGAAATACATACAAACCATAAAACAAACTAGTGAACTAACCTTCAGCATAATTAAAGGAAAATAAGTACCGAACAACACCCCCCCTTA